TAAAATGACCAAAAAAAGAAATACGTTCCATCGTCAATAAGTCTATAAAAATGATCTGAATACCTATAAAATTACGATTGTAAATTATGAATCAATATTTTTTATTTAGTGGTTGATTTTGAAAACAGATTTTGTTATAACAGAGTAAAATGTAAGAAACGAACAAGAATAATCTATGAACCATCATATTTAGAAATTAAAATCCAAAAGCTTTGGAACTTTCATAATTTGTTTTTCACTTAATATCTCTTATTATCGCGTGTCTTCGGAAAAATATAGATAAACGTGCATTACAATAATAATGACAGAGTATCTCAAACAGCCGTATTAACGACTGAAAATTTAACTTGAGACATATATAAAACATTATGTAAACTTAATAGTTCCTATTGCTTTGAAAACGACTCAATAACAGGTGTATGCTTTACTTAGGTGTACGGATGCTTTCTGAAAGGCATATTACGCAATATTCTTCTACTTAGATTATTTACCATAAGGTTTTATGTAACTCATCCACATGATTATGCACATGTAACTAAGAGTAACATCGTCGATCATTTTACTTCTGAATATATTCACTAAAACAAATAATGTGTAAACCACTACCTAAGCCCGGCATGGGTTCGAACCCGAGTTCGAATCTCCGTCACACCGAAACATGCTCACCCGTTGTCCGAACTAGGACGCTAGTCCTACTCCTGGATACTCACCTCCAACAGAATTTGGATATGTGAGAAACACCATACAAAACAAAAACAAAAAAACCACTACATAAACACATGAAGCAAGTAAAAGGAATATAGTTATTACGATTTTACTATTTTGGTTGATTGAGACATAACGTTTAACTAAATAAAAAAAAAGTTAAACAGTTAAGGCTACATTATATATATATGTCTATACATTAAAGATAATATTGACATTAATCAAAATTTTAGAATATTATAAACAAAGTTGATAAATACAAACAAGCTTATACATTATTTACAGGACATTTCAAATCAAACGAATCATTAAAATACTTAGCGTCGGGAACTGATTGTTATAAATATAAATTCAAATTACATTTAACAGGTATACTTAAGTAAGATTGGTTTTCCTTGAAAAGATTGAAATAATAACAGTGATAAATGAGTGTCTTATACCGACACTTAATAGCATTAATAGTAAATTTGTAAAAACATGTACTGAAACCTAATGAGATATGAGTTTATTAACGATTGCGAAACAAAAGTTTTATTATTGTAAAGACAAACAAAACATCTATTGATCATTGTAGATTTACTAAATTAAACAAAAATACGTGAAACTAATATACAACAATGAAATATTCAGAATAGAAGAGAGGTAACAGATAAAAAAAATCTGCTCAACCCATTCTATATCGATAGCAACATTTACTTTTTATTGCTATGAATATATCAGTACCACTAATTTTTTAGTTTTTACCCACCTGAATTAAATAATTCATTGTTTTGATGACACCTATCAATAAGTGCCTTTTTCAAATACAGACTCAAAGACAAAGATTTATGTTTATGTATTTATAAAATTATATCTCCACCTGTTTATGTATTTGTACATAGAAAGAGGTGGGAGGGGAATGTGTGTTTTATATATAATTAAGAAAATTAATATCACTATTGCTTTCATTTCCCTATTTATAATTTTTATAATTTTGAAGTCTTGAGTACAAATCCCTGCTTCATTGGACGAGAGACTTAACTCTCTGAATATGCTACTTTTTTATTAAAGGAAGTATTTCAGGACTTTTGACGTTTAATCCTTTAGAACAAGTCGTAACAATCGGTAATACGTTCATAGCTTTTGGATCTCTATCTCAGAGTCTCCTGATGTGAAACTGTTTGTTACTAACTCCAAGGCATCATTCATCAAAAGTCCTGAAGCGCGCACTTTAATTACGAACAATACATCTCATAGAATTAGATTATCTGTTCAAAAAGGCCGTTGAGCCTTCCATATAAGACCGCAAAACCGCTCCCAGTAAATAAAGAACTGAAATAATTACATTGTGCTTTTGTGTTAAATCAATACATAAAAATGAATGTCAGGAATAACTATCAATGATTTTCAAGAAGATGCTTTACTTTTCAAGTGAATGAATGAGCAATTATAACTTTGAATCTTTTTTATTAACTGTTACTTTTTCTCAAGTAAAATATATACACATGTCTTACCTTCATCAAGGTTCAGTACAATATTTTTTTTCACCTATGTATACTTTCTTTTACTATAAGTAGGGTTTTTATATTTAAAGTGTCACTTTTCTTTACTCTAAACTTCGTAACAGGTCAATTTGATGATATGATGCACAGTGTTGATTTTTAACAGAAATGAAGGGTTGTCACCTACGTCAAGACATCACATAATCTTAACTCATTTATAATAAAGCGAATAATAGTAAAGTTATTATGCAACTTACTGAGACCTGATATTTTGATAATCAAGTCTTGTGGGTGTTAAAAGAAAAATTAAATAAAAGCAATATATTTTAGACACAAATTTATCAAGTAACACTAGCTGTATTACTATTTTAAAGTTGAATTACAATGTAGATAATCTTAAGATGTTTTATTCTAGCAAATTATCTAGCACTAATCATACTATTATTAACCTTCAAAGATTGTGTGAGTATTCTCACACACTAGGTGTTATGTATGTTTTTCTAAAGAAAAAAAAAACCTCAGTTGGAACAACCCACGAAACGCGGTACACTTTAAAAAGATCTACACCTAGAGCTTAATATAGTATGTTGGTGTAGTTGCATCATCCGGATTATTTCCGGTGCAACGCGATCCTCGCTACTACGTACGAACCCAATGAATTCCCCATTAAGAAAAATCGTAATAATGTTTTATTTTATATTGTAAACATGCATTCGTTGCTTGTTTTAAAAGGTAGGTGTAAAGTTTAACTTTTCTTGCATCTAATAAAGAATAAACTAATTTCATTTCTTAGAACAAAATCAAATTACCTCTGCTTTTATTGTATGATAACAGAATACTGATATGATTAGTAAAACTTGAAGTGTTGAACATACATAAACAAACCATGAACGTTTAAAGTATATACGTTGTATTAACATTGCAAATTATAATTAAATTTATACGTTGTATTAACATTGCAAATTATAATTAAATTCAATACCTAAATAATGTGTGGATTATGAAAAGCAAAAACAAATTACAGTGTGTTTTTCTCAAGAAAGTCAAAATGTTAATGTTAAATGAAGCAACATGATTCACGGCTAACTTTGAGTTTTGTAGTTGAATAGTTCTATCGTTTAAGGTTTCGTGAACCTCAGAATACATGACATGATTCACAGCTAACTTTGAGTTTTGTAGTTGAATAGTTCTATCGTTTAAGGTTTCGTGAACCTCAGAATACATGAACAAGTGTTTTTCCATAACGATAGATACGCAGTTAACATGAACAAGTGTTTTTCCATAACGATAGATACGCAGCTAACATGAACAAGTGTTTTTCCATAACGATAGATACGCAGTTAACATGAACAAGTGTTTTTCCATAACGATAGATACGCAGTTAATTATGTTAAAAAAATGTTAAGCTGATAAAATATCACTACTCAATATACGCTTTTATCTTTATCCTTTTCATGTGATTTTTGCGGAACATTTACACTTGAGTTAACTACTACGATTTTTTTTCTTTAACTTAGTATTACTTGAAAGAATATAACAGTAATCATGTATTCTGAGGTTCACGAAACCTTAAACGATAGAACTATTCAACTACAAAACTCAAAGTTAGCCGTGAATCATTATTTCGAAAATTAAGAGGAGAACCAGTTACATTCTATTTCGAAAATGTTAATTTCATTAATAGTGAGAAATATTTTAGACAAAAACATTGTCTAATATATTGAAGAAAATAAAATGATCTAAAAGACCTTGGTAAATCAAATTAACTCGTTCCAAATGCAAAGACAACCCAATGTAACTTGCTGCTTATTCAACAAAGGCTTTTCTGATCGTTCGAACTGAAAAACGTTTATCATATATCATTTGAAAATGTTCTATGTTAGTTCATCCAAAAACCATCTAGCCAGCATTTTTATTCATAGTAATACAAGCATATTAAAGGTTGCAGGTTTTAAATTTTATCTCTTCGGCATTTCCTTTAAATAAAAACGTAGTCTAGTTAGTTTGCTTTCTACAACTTTCGAAGCTTAAATACCTCTGGTGCAGTCTCGAGGCAAGACTAGAGCGCCCTCTTCAAACCGATACATGTATATATTTCTTTTTTTCGAAATAATCACCGCGTCGATTTTGGTACAAATTATCATTGATTCATTATTAAATCTCTAAGACATTTAAGGTAGATAAAAGTGATTGACAGGGTCTTGTTTATAGTTTTTGTTATAATTAAATTTCACGCAAAGCTGCACGATAGCTTTCCATAACTTTGAAATGATAGTTTAGAGCGAAAACAACTAGTCAACGCCACTCACAGGATCAAGAGTCTTTAGAACCACATTTCAGCAGCTACCTAATTAGACCGCGCACGGGCCTTACAGGGCCTTGCAAAGATACTTCTGATCCAAAGTTTGGTGGCGAGACGAGAACGCTTTCTTCAGACTGACACAGTTTGGCTGGACGTGACCCCCATTTTTAGCATGCCGGACTATGAGTCCAAGGGTTGGCGTCTCGTTATCACAAATAATTATAACAACAATGACGCTTCGGTATCGTGGTTGCGTTGTAAGGATGACGATCAAATCTCACTATTTAATTTTGAATAACCAAGTGTTGGTTATGGGTGCTATCAATTATAGTTATCAGTTCAAAATTTGGGACGACTAGGGCAGATAGCTGTGGAGTAGGTTGGCGTGAAAATTCTAAAATAAACAAAACAAGCATGCGTAATTTTGTTTTGCAAAGTAATCACTGCAACACTTATGGGAAACAAGGCCTGATAAATAAGTAGAATAACAAACGTTTCAATTGACAACTTACCTACTGAACGTAGAAACGCCTCCTCGTATTGCTTCATTCTGTCAATGCTTTCATAAGCGTTATGACGACGGTCATCTTCTTCGTTTTCAGATGAACTGTACTGTGAGTCCTGGTGTGAGCGTGCTCGGTATTGTGGCTCTGGATGCGGGCGTGTTTGATTCCTAACTCTTGATGTCTGTTGTGATGTCTCTCTGTCCATGTTTAATGGTTAATAACTACATGTACGAAAAAAAAAGAGAAAGAAATACGACATATTAGAGAAATTGATCTGGACTTCCTATGAGTCTATCAAAAAGGATATCACTTGCTCATTGATAATTTGTTTTAGGTTCAGTATTTTTGTTATCTCATTTAAAACCTACGCATGTTATTTTTGTCGTAAAGTTATTTATGAGGGTAGTGCTTATGCACTTACTTTGTTACATACACAGCTCTAAGTGTCATTAATTCTTTTAGGAAGTTGTAAGATATAACTGCCTAATGAAACAAACCGATTATAATGAAACGTTATTTCAGAGTTTAGTAAAGATTAAAGCGCTGAAAAACATTGTAAGATACATAAAGGAATGTTACTGTTGAATATCAGTAAATTTAATAGGCAGATGGAGAACAAATGACAGATTACTAAACTGTGATGAATATATCCAAAAGCTACACAATTATTTGTAGCTGAAGTTTAGGTTATGCAGATACAGAGTTATCAGAATTTTAAGTAACTCGTATTTATAGCTTTTCAAAAACAGAGACAATATGTAACATTTTGGTGCTTACAGACAAGAAAATCTGACTTTCAAACAAAACCATCCGTCCTAGCCTTACACAGAAGCGTTTTCAATCTACTCGAACGACAACTAAGCTTGCAGTAGTCGTCGCAAATCGATTTTTAGCTTGGAACAAGACACCGCCTGGCAGTCGGAATAAACTATTCTTACTATTGAGTTTGTTGATTTCCAACGTTTTATATCCGCTTTGCAATACCTATAGAACAATCAGTCGAGGAAGCTGTGATAATTTAACTATAACATTAGAATTATTAGTTCCGAACTTATATCACAACACAACTGAAAAAACAACAACTTTTTAATAATTTTAGCCTCCAAGGGGGCTAAGTATGATACGAAATGTAGGAGTAAAGCATAATTGAAACCAAAACGTCTGAGACTTGGTAAGGTTTGTGTGCCATAAATATGAACTAAATTTACATGTCTATTGTTAGATAGTATTGACAATTTTCTTTTTATATGACACTGACCATGGTCAGACACTTTTGGAGGTCATTGCACTAACCAAAGGATACTTTATAATGCATGTATCTTTTTATCTAAATGAAGCTGAAGTAGCAACGAAGGTGCGTCAAATGAAATGTTTTATGAAATGGCAAACCCACGACCAGCTTAGCTACTGCCAAGTAGACCGAGCTTATTGTCACTGATTAGCTCAGCGGTAACATGCTTTGTCTAGTTAGTGCAAAATAAGGTCGCCATGGGTACGAGTATCATAACAAACATTTTCTTATATACTGCTTCGTTGCTTAGTTTTGAAACATTTATCCTTTATTGTTTTGGGCATGATATTTTCATTCACATTTCAAATGTACTGGTTATGGGTAAGTGTAGGAAAATTACACAAAGGTAATATCAGATACAGACTCTACATCGAAGCTATTTGACGCTGTAATAAAAAGCAGATTACTACTATCCAGTTATATACTTTCATAAAAAGCGTATAAAATGAAAAGACGGATATTGCTAGTTGGAGTATAAGACATCATCTGTTAAAAACAAGAACTATACATATACGTATATATATATATATAAACATTACGTTAATGAACTATATATGTACACACACACTTATATATATATATATATATATATGAACACTGCGTTAATGAACTATATATGTACGCACATATATATATATGAACATTACGGTAATGAACTATATATGTACACACACACACATATATATATGAACATTACGTAAAGAAACTACCATTCTGATAATTAAAAGGTCATTCCTATCTACAGTCATTACACAAATCTCAGCTCGCTAAGTGACTTAAACCTAATTTTAACACTAGAAATCAGCCGCTTGCTATCTATGTATTTGTTTGTCCATCCATAACGAGTATTTTCCTGCTTCCTAACCTCTGATCACCATAGAACTTTCTTGGGTATGCACAATGAGATACTAAAACTCATTCTTTATTATTTTTTTGAATCTGACAGCCATTTCAATTTTTCCCTTGCTACTGGCTGTGAATGACCCACAGGACAACTTACCGCCCTCTTGTGACACCCACGAAATAAATGCCTAACCTGGCAGGGGTACTTTGACTACTATTTATAATACTCGTTATATATATATCACCAAGACTTTGTCAGCAGTGAAGAAAACTGTTCATGATTTCCGTCATATTTTTATGTTTTGGTGCAATGCATCGCCTAGAACAATATATTAAACCATGTTGTATATTGTTCGTGAAAAGTACACATTAAGTCGAACTCAACGCTACTTACTAATATATATATTTTGGTGTTATGCGACTTGTATGTAGAAACCTCTTAGCTGAAACCAGTTATGTCGTGTAGAAAACAATTGCTTACATTTCATTATTAATATTTTTTGTTTCTAGAAAGGAATCGTGCTCTTATAAAATCGTTTTGTAGGTATATATTTATAAAATAGGACTGTGTAGACAGTTCTGCCCTCTCTTGACGGCAAATGAAATATTTGTTAGATTAAAATAAATAAATAAATGAAAATATCTCGAGCGAAATTGCTCGAGATATATAAAAAAAAGAAAAGAAATACGTTTATTCACATTCATAAAAAGAAAAAGAAAAACACGGGAACTTCCAGACAAAAAGCTAAAAACAACTTCTCAAACCGTTCTTAAAGAATCGTATAAAAATGTGTCGATAAGGCGTCAAATGGCCTGAACAATAACACATCAGTGTATAGTTCCTAGCATAAAACCTGAAATAAAGGGAATGCAGGATTTCCCAAGCCAATTTCAATGTGGGATCTGCCTGAGGATTAATAGCCTCCAGAATAAAAGTTTATACACGTGGAATTTGGCGGTTTTCTCAGAGCAATATCGAGAATGTATGGAATGAAATCACCCCTGCGTATCTTTCCACCTGATGGCACAGGGAAATCAAGTCAGATCGAAGATGCTATAAGATAGGATACACTATGATCCCTACTCGGTTCACTTGGTTGCAAGGAACTACAGTGGAAGTAAAGATGAACGTATACATCTCCGAAGCATTTCAACAAAGTAAAGAAACAAAAAATAGATACAGAAAGAAAGATAGGGAGAGAAATAAAGACACTAAAAAAGGAATATTTGACATATTATGTCAGCAACTCTTGGAACTTATATACCAAGAGGATTTAAAAGTAAGCTTCGTTGGTTACCCATAGATGGAAAATGGTTTATAACTCCAAGAACCGCAAAGCTGTATCCTGTTTGTTATTCACGAGTTTTAAGTCACCTAAATCTTCTTAGTGAAATATATTTCTTTACTACTCATTCTACCAATTCGCAGTTTCCTTGTTTTATTAAGCTTTTATCTTCAACTAGAAAAATAGCATATTTTCAAACCTAAATGCATTGTAATTATCGACAAAATGCTCGATGTCATCTTATAGACACCCTGTAACTAATTAGAGGTTAATAACCCTTACACAGAGAAGTGAATGGGAACATTAATTTCAACACAAGAATAACATCATTTTCTTTCATTTTGTTCTTTGGAAGCTTAATAAATGTTTTAATTATGCAACTGGTTATGCAATATTCATTTTTGCGCAAATGTTTATATTGTTATTTCAGCGTTTCTCGAAAGTTAGTTACTTTATCCATTTTTGCCTGAAGCATCTTGCATTAACACATACTGGTAACACTCAACTGCAACGCAGAAAATCTAATTATGACGGAAAATTAGGATATTATACCCAAAGATTAAAAAATATAGATGGCGCTCTTTTTTCTTTTTTTTTCGAGTGGGAAGGCAAATTGAGCTCAGGATACTTTTTGTCATTTTAAATATTTAACTTCTGTTTAAGTAATTTCTGACGATAGGGCACTGGATTATCTGGTAAGTTATTACATGTTCACGTAATCTAATTCGAAACTAACCAAACAAAAAGCATTTAACAAAGATAAAAACTAGAAGAAGAAAGAAAGAAAAAAAAACAAATCATACATACAAGCATATAAAATTCTGAAACAGATACAAAGTCATAATACAATATCATAATAATATATTGAGTGGATCATAATATAACAAATCCTTCATATTTTCAGTAATAGCGATCATATTTGTTGTTTTTCTTTATAAACTTGATGTACCTAGGTTTATCTGTATGTAGATTACATGGCCATCGCATGTGGATTTTGGTTAAAATGCGAGGGAAGGGAAATATCGTGTTTTCCTGAATAGCATATCTTTATTTTATGCAGAGTGGTGTCTGTGAATAAAGTTCTATTTTTTGTTTAAATGCCACTGGTAAATATACTTAAATTAGTCCTTTACTTTAAATTAACGATATCATTATGTTTCATTTTTCGGATATCGAATTTTTAGTGCTTTAGTAACATCATTAATTAAATGAAACTGAGTATATTAATTGGCTCTGTTTGTTTCGGATATTCGCGCAAAGCTACACAAGGACTTTATGCACTAGCCGTCCCTATTATATGAACTGACAAATTAGCGCCAAATCAGTCGGTCAAGCTCATCCACCGTCAACTCTAGGCTACTCTGATAGAATAGAGGGATCTGACCATCACTTTTATAACGCACTACGACCCCGAAGACTTATCACGACAACGGATCCACAGTGTGTCATGTTCAATTTACTTAAGCACTTGAAAAAATACTAAGTACATGAAAATGAACATATATAATAAAACCGCTCTAAAACGTTACAACGACAAAAACGGGAAATACTGTCCTACTCTTTAATACATTTTCATGCATCAAATACTTATGTAAAATAATGACGGGCACTTTTTCTCAATACGCTATTTCTCATACATATGAACTTAAACTAAAGTGTAGAAATTGAAGTAACTTTCAACAAATATAGTTCTTAAAACACAAAACTTCCTTCAAATATGATTTTAATGCACAAGCTTTTAGCTAGGGAACGAAACAAAGATGTACTGAATTAAATTAACTGTATATATTTTTACAT